TTTTTTTAAGTTTTCTTGCAAGAGTTATTCTCTCTCTCAAGGTTAGATTATGCAAGAGTTCGTTTTTTTAAATATATTTTATGTGGATTATATTGTTACTTTATATTTTTTTTACTGAAAGTTCAGAGTAGGAGGGGTGATTAGTGTGCATTGTATTATTTTAGAATACTTTTAGTTGTAGATTATTTCAACAATTATCTTTCATCTTTTGATCCAAAAGGATTATGCTCAATTATGGTTTTACTATCAAATCAAGAATTGAGTTTGACTATAATTTTCATGTAATTATTATATTACTCTATTATTATATGTTTAACTGAATGTTTTATATTTTTAGAGGAGTTAAGTTTTGCAATGTCTCTAAAATGCTAGACTATATGAGTTGGCTTATAACTGTTACAATTTTTTTATTATTAATAAATAAATTTATGTTTTTTTAAAAAATAATAATAATTGTTGACCTGTTATTATCTATTGACTATTAGTTATGAACTGTATCTAAATAGTTAAATAGTTAATCCAAAATTTTAATTGTAAAACTACATGATCAACAATATAAATAACTTAATAATAATTTTATTTTAATAAAATAAAAAGATTTTAAGTTTAAATTACACGAGATTCAAGTAAAATAAATTAAAATATAAAAAATATTGTTTGTACTATGTAATTCAAGATAAAAAAATTAATTCATGAATAAAAAAAAGGTCAGAGAGCTGGCAGCTAGCAAGTAATAAGCCATAGACGATGCACCAACCATGAGAATAAGCCTTTTTTTATTTTTTTTTTTATTTTTAAAAAAGGTCAAAGGACTGTAGCGTGTCCCAAAAGCACGTCACTGGATTTCAAAACACACTAAAAACCCCCACAGCATGCCTTCTTTCCTGTCTCTCTTAAACCATCTTTTTCTCTGCTTTCACCCTTCTATATAAAAACAGAAAAGCCCTTTTCCTTTCCAATCTCTGAATCTGTATTTGGGAATACTATCAATTTTTCCATCGATGGCCGCAAGGGCAGCAGGCAGATTGCTCAAAGATTTTGTATACAGAAGGGTAATTTCAACTCCCCTTGGAGCTTCCAGGCATTGCTCCTCTTCAGCTGCTTCTGCTGCTCCTAAAATCCCCCATTCTTCCAAGAAAGTAAGTTCTCACCCTCTGAATGTATTCAGGTTTTTCTTTTTTCTTCTTTGGGTTTCTTTAATACTGTTTCAAAGTTTCGCTGAATCTTAATGGGTTTTGTGTCCCTTCTCATTTTATTTATTTTATAAGTGAACTCAGGATGCACAAGCTTGTATACTTTATCGTTGAATATGGATTGACACACCAAATAGTCTAGGATTGAGATTTTTTTTTCGCTAAAATGGAAATTAGCTGTGTAGCTATTGCAGTTATCTGAATCCTCTGAGTAAAGGTTTCCAAGTTAATGATTACCAACTCTGTTAAGTTATTCTTGATAGAGTTGTAGGATTTTGGTCACATGGAAAATGCAGTATCTTATCTTTTAGAACTAGTGGTATTAGCTTGGATTTGTACTTGTGTAAATATTTGGCCATGCTGTTGTCATCTATCATTTATGTAATGTTTTTTCTTTCAAAGTAACCATACGAGCATCTCCTCATCTTGCTAATCACATTTTTTTACAGTATCCATGTTTAGTTTACGCTAGTTTAGTTAATCTATTTTATTGGGGATTCAGTGTCCACAAGGGTGGACTCATGAGTGCAGTGATTTTAAGTTATTTAGGCTTGAGAAAGCAATAAATAGATGTTTCTTTACTCACTGCCATTTAGATTAATAGATTGTTCTAAGGTTGTAATTTTTTCTTCTTATTCTTATTTGCTTGTTCCGGTATCTTTTGTTAGATAAGTTGGGGGGGTGTGATTTGGTTGGCCATAGCTGAATTAACAGACATTCTGAACCAAACCTAATTTTTGTTTGTTAGGTGTACAGATATTGAGTTTTAAGCAAATAACCAAAGTGCCCCTTTCAAATGAACCATAGTTAACCAAAATTTTGATTATTTTGGTTAATGCTCTTGATTGGTTAATTCTGTTAACCATATTTAACTGAGACAGCAAAAAGTAACCCAAATTGACTGAACTGTAATGAAAAATTTAAATTATGGCAATTTTTCTGGCCAAAAAATTTTGCTCTACTGAAATTTATCTCAAATAATAAATTGGGTTATGGAAGAGTATTTCATTAACTGTGCTTGTTGGTTTACCAAAAAAAAAAGTTAGTTAACTGAACCAGACCAAACACCCACCTCTTGATAAGTTAATTGAGGATTGTTGGGTTGTTTTTCTCACCAATTAGTTTTCAGTATTTTCCTAGAAATCTACCTCAATGGCACCCATGGTGCTTTTGGTACTATCCAGCAAGTTTTGTTTGAAAGCTTGGAGTGTGAAAATCAGGTTCTTTCTTGAAGGATTTGGAAGAAAAGAGACTTGTTGTTGGCTCGGATTCTAGCCTTCCATGCTTTGAATTGTTATTGTTCCTATTCCTTAGCAACCTTTTCTTTTCAATATTTTCACTAAGCTGATTTCTTTTTTATTTTATGACTATTTTTTTACAAATTATTATTTGATACTAGAGTCTTTGGTTATTTTGCATTGCAGGGGAGGTTATTGACGGGAGCCACGATTGGCCTAGCTATAGCCGGAGGAGCTTATGTGAGTACTGTGGATGAAGCAACTTTCTGGTACTTAATTTGGATCTCTGATGAGGTTGCTATGCTCTACTGCTTGAACTAAATGAATATTGCCTGCTACCTCTTGCTTCACTCTTTTAACATATGCCTCTATGATTGTATGTATGTTCAAAAGAGGGCTTCTTGATTTTTCCACGTACTCATTCATTTTAGGGGAGGGGTTGCTATCTAGAATTCTTCTTGCAACAAATATGTGTCTATCTAAGGGTCTATTTGGGATTGTTGTGTAGTGCATGGCTGTGTGGAAAAGTGCTGTGAAAGCAATTCCAAATGCATCCTAAGTCAAGTAAATTTATCCTTTACCAATCAACAATTGGGAAATTCAAGTTTATCATCCCCTGAACAAATGATAGGTTTGAGCTTTATGGTAAAACAACTGTTTTCCAATAACTATATCTCAGTATTTTCCCTTTTCTTTACCCTGATAATGAATATTAGTACTTAGCTTTTTATCCTAATAACCTTATCACTGTAGGTTTCTTGCTGTTGTTTATCTTGATGTATTCTGGTTAGCAGGATAGGTTTGGAAAATGACAGCAACGTAAATTTGTGGAATAAAATTAAAATTTCAAATCAGCAGCTTGTGAGAGATTATCAACTCCAAGTTAGGCTTAAAGACGTTGAATCTCACTTTTTACTTTCTTTGTTGTGCTGTAGTTTTCTTTTACCTAGCTAGTTAAATTCTTTTTTTTCTTTTTTTTCCTTTTGTTCTCATGGCTTAAAAACATATGCAAAATTGAAAATTTCGTTCCTGGCTTAAAAACATAAAAGGTTTCCTGTTTCCATAGTAGAGCTGTAAAGTCATATATACGGGTATATATATTTTTATTCTTTCTGAACAACAACCGTAAAGTCTTAGTTAATAGCTATTGTTGGAAGAATAAATAAATTTGAGGACATTCTTCGCTGCTGGTTTAGAATACAATTTTTCTAAGGTTTTGTCAAGCCAACTCATGGCAAAGGCATAAAGTTAACACCAATTTAAGTAAATTATTGTAACTCATATAACGTAGATTATCTTTTTCCTGTAACTCATTTAATTTAATTTAATTTTACATTAGCTTAACTGAATTAGCTAAGTTTTAAAGAATCCTAGAGTCTATCTTTTAGGCGACTAAATTATCTTGATTGGAATTTTTCAGTGGTTGGCTATTCTCAGCTACAAAACTTGTAAATCCGTTCTTTGCCCTCCTGGATGCTGAAGTTGCTCATACACTAGCTGTTTCAGCTGCATCTCGTGGTTGGGTTCCAAGGGAGAAGAGACCTGATCCACCAATTTTAGGGTTGGATGTTTGGGGAAGGCAGTTCTCAAATCCAATAGGTCTTGCTGCTGGCTTTGATAAAAATGCTGAAGCTGTTGAAGGCTTACTTGGTTTGGGTTTTGGCTTTGTGGAAGTTGGTTCTGTTACCCCTGTGCCACAAGACGGTAATCCAAAGCCTCGCCTCTTCAGATTGCGTCAAGAAGGGTTGGGATGCCTAATTCATGTTTTTCTTTTCTTTCTTTCTTTCTCTCTTTCTTTCTCTGTTGTCTGAATCACAAACTAGCTCATAGTCTGGAGCAAGAGTATATGCCAATGCTGAATGCTAGCATGTAGATTTCTGAAAGCTTGCAACATTTTACTGCTTAAATTTAAGTGATTGTTGATTGCTGTGACATCGAGTTGGGGCACTTTTGAATCTAACTTTGGTTCTTGGGGCCAGCGCTATTATAAATAGGTGTGGATTCAACAGTGAAGGCATTGTTGCTGTTGCAAAACGTTTGGGTGCCCAACATGGTAAAAGAAAATTAGAAACTTCAAGCAGTTCATCATCTGCTGATGATGAAAGCAAACATGGAGGCAAAGCTGGTCCTGGTATTCTTGGGGTTAATCTTGGAAAGAATAAGACTAGTGAAGATGCTGCAGCTGATTATGTTCAAGGAGTTCATACCTTGTCCCAGTATGCTGATTACTTGGTAGATTATTCATCTTTTCTTAGGATCCCTTATCAAAACAAATTGTTTCCCTTTGACTATATCAAATTGTTTCAACATTCATTGGACTACTAGTGACTTATTTTTGTTTTTTATCAACATATTGCCTAGATTCTAATGCTGCTTGGTTGTCAAGTTTTAATGCTGTTACCTTTCTAGCAAATACTTATTCTGAAATTCATGTAGGTGGCAGTGTAATCTGTAGGAGTTTTATTTTCTGATGCCTTGATAATGATATGTTAAATAGAGAGTTATTATATGGAGTATGTGATACCAAGACTAGGTGCCTTTTGGTTTTTGCTGCTCATTTCTTATGTTATTCCTTTGAGCAGATTATTTTGAATAGTTTTTAGTGGAAAAGTATTTAAGCAGTTTATTTGGATGCAATAGCATTGACCATCATATCCACAACCTTTGTTAGGTTATTAATGTTTCATCACCAAACACTCCTGGTTTGCGTATGCTTCAAGGGAGGAAACAATTGAAGGATCTTGTCAAGAAGGTACAAAACTTTTAGCTTTTGATGTTCTCTTCCTTCTATACATCAATTAAGTTATTTCTTTTCACCTTTTCTTTTTAATCAAGGTTCAAGCTGCTCGTGATGAAATGCAATGGGGTGAAGAGGGTCCTCCTCCATTGCTTGTAAAAATTGCTCCAGACCTGTCCAGAGAAGACCTTGAGGATATTGCAGCAGTAAGTTCAACTTGCATGCCATAAAATTTCTATAGTTTCTCTCTTTCTATATTCTTATAGTTCCCACTCTTTGATTGTAGGTTGCTTTGGCACTCCGTTTGGATGGATTGGTATTTTTCTTCCTATCATAAACTTATTTCTTTCCCTTTCTTGTGTGATAGTTGATGTCTTGTTGGTGCATCTCTGTTATATTTTCTTGTTCTCTTTATATATTATACATATAGAGAGAGAGAGAGTTAGGATACACTTACATATAACTCTTACACATGTCACTTGCACAAAATCTTCGATCATTTATCCCCCCATTGTAAATGGTTGAGATTTATCACGACTTTTTAGATGAAAAAGACAATTATTTTTAAGAAATATGATAAGAAGTGGATAAATCTCAACCATTCATGGTGGGGAGCTGAATGATCAAGATTTTGTGTAAGTGTTGTGTTTAAGTAGATCCAAACTCATATGTGTTTGTTAGCTAGGCCTCTAAAAAATTAGGAGGAAAAGGTCTCAAAACTACATCATTTTAATAAACTCCCATTGGAAAAGACTAAAATAACCTAATTTTTAAGCAAAAAGAAGTGTTTTGGTCTTTTTTTGTGGTGTTTGATTGAAGTGATGTAGTTTTGAGGTGTTTTTCCTCCTAATTTTTTAGAGGCCCAGCTGATAAACATCAATCTAATATATATAAGATTATTCGAAAAAAATGTGGATTCAAAAAAATAATTCAAAAGTAGGGTAGGTTTTAAAAATATTTTAAAAAAGTCTTTAATTTCAAACTAATCCCAAATTAGTACTCTGTGATACCAAATTTGGCCCTCCTCCAAAATTAATATACCTAAATTTCTTATATCCATCTGTCCTTAATAACAAATCATGCCTTATTATTATTTTTTTTTTTGCTTCCTTTTTTCCTAAACATTCCTCTTCTTTTTTTTTTTTAATTTAAGCCAATAAAGTGAAATTTGCACCTAATTATAAGCTTGCTAGAAAGCTAATTTCATTTTTTTATTCTTCCATATTTCACTTTTAAATAATCATAATTTCATGTATTCTTTAATCATGATTTCACTTTATTGGCTTAAATTGAAAAATAAAAAACAAAAAAGAAATGTTAAGTAAGAAGGAAGCAAAAAATTAGGCAGAATTTACCCCCAAAAAAATAGGCATATTTGTTGCTAAGGGCAAGTGGGTGTAGCAAATTTAGAGATATTAATTAATTTGGGAGGAGGGGCAAATTTAGCATTACAGGTACTAATTTGAGATTACTTTGAATTTTAAGACTTTTTTGAAAATATTTTTGAAAACCACCCTACTTTGGAATTATTTTTTGAACCCACCCTTTTTTGGACTTGGAATAATCCCTATAATATATATAGAGAGGGTAGAATCCACTTACACACAAGTTTTGCACACCACACTTACACAGAATCTCAATCATTCTCCTCTTCACTCTTAATGGTTGAGATTTATTCACATTTATTAAAGATAATTATTTTTTTTCATCTAAAAGGGTGTGATAATCTCAACCATTGAAAGTGGAGAGATGAATGATCAAGATTTTGTATAAGTGTGGTGTGTAAGACTTGTGTGTAAGTGGATCCCTCCTTATATATATATATATATGTATGTATGTATATATATGTAATATTAGGGATCAACTTGCATATGTAAGTCTAACAAAAATTCTCAGCCGCTCATTTGAAATTCAAGGCTATATATGGTAACCCAAGTGCTGCATTAATCGTCTAAATTTTGAACTGACTGGATGAAAATTTGTGTAAGGCATATGATCTCTACTCATCTGTAACTTTAAATCCACTAATTGCCTGTTTGCAGTAAGATAATTGTATTTACTCTTCAATTCATAAGCTGATTGTGAACCTCACTTCCTGGAATTTATTGATGTTCCTTTACAAGGGTTAATTTTGGTTTTGGGGACACCATGATGAATTTCAATAGTATTTTCCACCTTGCTACTTGTCTTCAACTCGCAAACTTCAAATGTCTACCATTACTTTATTCTTTCTGTACAAAATATTACTAATAAGATAACATCTTAAATTGCATGATAAGCTTGTTAATAGTTGTTCCTTTGGTTTTCTATTGTTCTATTTTCTTGTTTCTTTTTTTTTTAGATTATATCAAACACAACAATTTCAAGACCAGATCCCGTAAACAAAAATCCAGTGGCCGCAGAAACTGGTGGCTTGAGTGGGAAGCCTCTCTTTAATCTATCAACAGAAATCTTAAAGGAGATGTATATCTTAACAAGGGTATGTTATTCATCAACTTTCTCCATGAATTGCATTATTGTTAGAGATAGAATGATATGGCAAGGATCTGAGTATCTCATCTATATTGGCTTCACTCATTAAAAAGCTTATCTTTACTCATTCGATGAACCGGTGAAGCTTGAGTATCAGAGTATTTGGTTTGAACTCTTGTGATATTGATTTCTTAAACAAGTTCTATTAAGAGCTTGAATGTGGTACTAAACGTGGGTGTTAATTTAATTAGTTGAGCTCGAGCAGAGTTTTAGTTTTATGATCTCTCAAAGGCATGTCTGAGTGAAGAAAAAGAGCTGAAAAGCTCTTACTCAAGTTTGAGCTTGGAATTCTTAATTATGTCAGCTTGAGCATTTTAGGATCAGATAGGCTTGTTCCTACACTAAGTTATGTCACTCTCATAGTGTTGTTATTGGGGATATTAAAAATTTTTAGTGCTTTCTGGTACTTGAATTAGTTGTGTTTAAAACCTGACTCTACATTTTTATACAACAGGGAAAGATTCCACTAATAGGCTGTGGTGGTGTTAGCAGGTATTTTTCTTAACCATTTGCATTATTAGATTACTATTTTTGTTGGCATTTCATACCTTCTTCAGCTGAGTTTTCTTCCTCATCTACTGATCTTAAATATTTCTGCTACTAATAGATTTGTTGTCATTGATTTCATAATTTTTTTCTTCTTCATAATTGTTTGTGGTTTGTTCTTTTTAATTTGTTTTATATGTGATTTGGTTTAGTGGCGAGGATGCATACAAAAAAATAAGAGCTGGAGCAACTCTTGTTCAGCTTTATACAGCATTTGCTTATGGAGGACCCGCCTTGATTCATCAGATGAAGGTAGCAATCTGAAAAGTTTCAACATATCTTTATTAGAACCAGTGTTATTTGAGTCTGGTTGAAAATTTTATTTTATTTTCATAAGAAGTTAGAATTTTCATTTAGAAATGAATTAAATTTTTAAATTTTATTTAAAAAAAAAAAATGATTAGTTGCATCTTTAACCAATTGATTATTAAATACATTATTATACTACCTCCATTCAACTTTAGTTGTCATACTTTTGTCTTTGCACAATTGCAGAGAAAACTCATTTAATACCTAAACAACACAATGATTACTACTTAAAATCTCATAATTACCCTTAATAACTTTAAAACCCATGGGTAAAATTGGAATAATAGCACTTAAAAGTCTTTTTGTAATGGAAAGTGTGACAACTAGTTTTAAACACCCATATTATGACAACCAAAGTTGAATAGTTGTAATACTACACTGCATCCGGTCTACTTAGTCATCCTACTTTGACTTTTGCATAAAGTTTGACTTAATGCTTTTATATAGCAAATGGATGTCAATTGACAATTTTTCTTTCCTGTTAAGTAGTTTCATTTAGATCAAATAATTTGTTCAATTGTCATTAGTATTATATTAAAATAGCAAGTTAATTTGCATAACAATCAGGGAATAGGATAACCAAGAATGACCATGCCTTTTATAAAATAGGGGTAAATAACAAATTTGGTTCTCAGCCGTTGTTATAAACTAGCATTATCAAAACCACTCTGCAGGTTGTTGGGATGTATTTGCCTTTTAAAAGAAGGAAAAAAATTATTATTAGTAGATAATAAAATAAAATATATACAGAAAAAATGTGATATAAAATAATTAGTTTCTGAATATTTTAATAGGTTTAAAAGATCTTTTAATACTATTTGATAAAAATTTGTTAAACTAAGTTTGTTCCTACCAAACCTAATTTATTTGATTTAAAACATAATTAATTATAAGATCCAACTAAAAAGAATTTTTTCACACAAATATGTAAAGTAAAAATATAATTACTACAAAAATAACCTCAAATAGAAAAAAAAAGGGGATTTTTTTACATACTGATGCAAAAAATATAAAGTAAAAATTAATAACACCAAAAGTCATTATAAAAAAAATACAAAACAAACTTTTTATGCAAATAAAAAAGATATAAAAGCTACCATAATTACAACAAATGCCAGTACACAAAACACAAAAGGACTTTTTTATACAAATACAAAATAGACAAAAAGTTTTCAAAAATTACTCTAGTTGCCATTAACTCAACCTGAAAACCCTTGAACCCCAATGAATTTACAAAATTATCACCTGTCAACACTATTTTTAGAGAGAGAAATGAACAGATAGGAGAGAGATAGGAAGAGGGTAGAGTTGGCTCTACTCTTCTTATTTAGCTAACTTTATCTTAACCTTTCATTGGGACCAGAAATGCACCAGACTGTCCAACCTTTTCAAAATGGACAAATTTTGTGATGCAGTCCAGGAGGAACCCATCAAATAATAATTTAGGCTTGTTAAGCAATTCTTATTTAGGAATTAGTTTTCAATTTCCAGGAAAATATTTTAGTCTAGGTTATAATTAGTTTCATATTTCTATCAAGATTAGGTCTTCCATTAAGAATCAATTTAGTTTAGTAAGTCTAGTTTTTCTATTTGTTGCTACAGTAGTTCGAATTACCATTCACAGCAACCCTAACTGTAATGCAACTTCTGTTCTATCCAATAAAAATGCTCAAAGAAAACCCTATATTCATCCTCAGTCACTAATACACAACACCCTAAACAGTAAACCCTAACTTTTTAATCTGTAAACTGACCAAAGAACTTGTGGACAAATTCAAGGTTGTCCTACATCATTCTGTCCTTCCTTTACTCAGTTTTTTCAAGCCCTTTCATGCTAGCAACTAACTGGCACCCATGGACCCTCTAGGTAGGTAACAGCCTGTCAAAGACTGTAATCTTCCATTCAACAATAAAAGAACATGTTTTAGTTATGTTTCTATCCCTTACGTACTCCACTTCTATATCTTTTGTCAAGCATGATCCTTTGTGGCTTGAACAAGAACTCAATAGTCTCATGTTCCATGTTTGTTCCATTAAATTGGCAGCCCAGACTCTGGAAGGACAGAGTTTGTCCATTTTAAAAGGGTTAGTTCCTGTTCTGTTGGGATAAAATCAGGTATTCAACCCAAAGGTTGGAATCAAATCTGGTATTTATATCTATTTATGTGATGGAATTCTTCTCTCTTGGAATACCTTACAACTTTGTAAGTGATTTTTTAGTGTCTTTTACTGGTTATTGTATTCCAATCCTAATTTTCATATTCAGTGAATTATAATGATATGTATGTAATGTCATGACAATCATTCACAGTGGTTGTCCCAGCAGTAGGATCTTGGATGCTTGGAGTAGGCATTTACAGAAGCGTATAGAATTTTTTTATTCTTCTTTGGTTAAATGCCAATTTTGGCCCCTCAACTTTAGAGTTTTACACAATTTTTGTCCTTCAACTTTTTTATGCACTTTGTTGTTCCCTCAATTATGAAAAATACACTTTTTTGATCCTAAAGTCAATTAGTCTATTAAGTTTGTCCAAATTTGCACATATAAAAATTGTGCAAAACCCTAAAGTTGAGGGATTAAAATTGGGATTTAACCACCTTCTTTTCAATGTAGAACAGTATCAGACCGCAAGTAATTTTTTTGGTCAGCCAACAGATCAGACTACAAGTTGTGTGCAAGAGAATCCTTTTTGGAATATGTTCTCATTATTTGTGGACAATCTGCCTGAATAACTCTGGTCATTATATGGACCCTTGGTGAATGCCTATGGTACTATGTAGTTATTCAGGTGTCACCGTTGTAATTTTGATGAATATTGACTTGGGATATCTCTAGATTTGATCAGGCCTAGCACTTATCCTTTTCTCTTTTCCCAAGTCATTGCCATATGGAGAAACTAGTTGGTTCATCTCTAGAATATTTTTGGTGTTTTATTGTGATTCATTTTCATGCAGACTGAATTGGCGGAGTGCTTGGAAAGAGATGGTTTCAAGTCTATTCATGAAGCTGTTGGTGCTGATTGCAGATAGGTAGCGCAATAAGTAAGCCAAAGACAACGCCATAACAAAAAGATGGGACAATTGTATTGTGATTTAATTTTGTCTAATAATTTTGGTACCCAGCATGACTGCTTTTGTTCTCCAATATAGTTTTTCTTTTTCCTTTTTCTATTAAAATTTCTCATTTTTTTGTTACCAAGAGATTGCCATTTTGAGATTTGAGATTGTTTTACAATAATAAGACAAAATTTTGATTTTTTTTTTTGGATGACTGAGTAGTATATTTGTGGTTTTTGCAAATTCTTTTTTGAAAGAAAAATATGTTTTGGAGTTGTGGATTGCAAAACATAATCTATTGGATGATAAGGGCCCCTTAATAATGGGTGAGGGCTCTTCATTCAATGGCTGGCGTCCTTAGACTCTTTTTGAAAAGAATTTTTTTTTTTTTAAGTCGAATGATAACGTTATATTATAAGGGATAGCTCTCCATTTCACAAAACTTCTTAAAACCTCTAGTAATGAAGCTTTAAGTTAATCACTAGGATGTCTGAGGAAACCTTTTTGAAATGATTTGTTACAAGCAATGGAGTTCTTTATGGAAAAGCCAGTGTCAAAGAAGGCCTAGATAGAAATCAAGATGTTCTAGCGATTGAGGTGATAATTTTGTTGCTTCAAGTCTCCAAAGGCAAATGCTTAAAATAACTTTGAACACAGGTGAGCAAGTATAGGGGTGTTCATATCCGATCTAATTTGATTGATCCGACCTAAATTGATCCGATCCAATCAAAAACCGATCTAAACCGATATAAAATTGGGTTAGTTTGAATTCTAAAATTTTAAAATCGATATAATTGGTTTGGTTCGTGATTTTACCTTCAAATCGTCCGAATTACTCGATTACAAAATAAAATCCGATTAGAAGATAATTTAAGTAAATAATATAACATATTTTTTATAGTATTTTAAATTTTCTTTTTCTTATTTTACAAGATTATAACTCCATTAACTTAATTAAAAAAATAAGAATAGAACATCTCCATATTCCTTAAGTTATTTCTCGATTTTAATCATACACTCTAACTTTAATTCTAAATTTTTAATTCACCTGTAACTCTATTCTCTCAGAACTAGTTTGCGCATTTACTCTTAGAACCCTAAATTTCTAATTTATTCTTAAAATAATCTTATGATTTTCCTAACTAAGTTTTAAATAAGTATTATTCTAAAAGCTTTAAAACCATATAATAAAATTAGTTTTAATATTCAACTATTCTTAGATATTTGGTTTAGAAGTTTTAAATTTTGATTTTGAATGCTTCTCATCAATTTTAGTAATATTCACGTTAAATATTATTCACTTTTAACAGGATTTAGAAAATGTGATTAAATTATTAGTGTATTAAGAAAAAAAATTAATTTTAACCTTCAAGATTATTTACGTTGTGCTAGAAATTTAAAATTATTTTTTATTGTTTTTTGTGCCTCTAGTGATATAATAAAGAAGAATTTTCAGAGCTTTTTAATTTTTACAAATGTAGAGAAGTATAAGAATTCGTTTATAATTTTTACCTTTTATTATATTTTTACTGATTTGAATGTTAATGTATTTTATAGTTATACTTTCTATTTGATATTAAAATATTTTTACATTATCT